GCCTGCCCCTCTGATGCATTTTAGACTTTCCTTGATTTATGACTTTCGTTTGTTCTGCAAAACTATAAAACTCATGAAACTGCTTCCACATTGGAACATAGAATTGGAGGAAAACAGATGGTGTACTCCTGGGCCACTGTAATCACTCAAAATAAATTTGTTCTTATCACTCCCTCCTTAAAAAACAAACAAACAAACAAAACAAACCACCATGTACACTCTCACTATTTTAAAACTATTTTCATAAACTTCATCATTTAACAGTGTGATCATACAGATAAATCAGAAATCCCTAGAGTACTGCTGGGAAATTAAAGCATTCACTCTATAAAAAGAAGGCCCACATCCACATAGGAAATCCCCACCCCTACCAACTCTTTTTCACTAACAGCTTTATTGAGATACTAGAAAATTCACCCTTTGCAAGTATACAATTCAGTATATTTTTTAGAGGAAAATGTTTGGAAAAAGTATAGCCATCATGACTATCTAATCTCAAAACCTTCGTCATCCAAAATGAAGCTGTGTATATATTAGTCATCACTTCCCTTTTCCTCTTTCACCTTTAGCTTTTCATTTTACACTGAAAAAAAAGCAAAAAGCAAAGAAAGTGTTATTTATCTTCTCACTTTTCCCTAAAATAGCGAAACTACTTAAGATCTGTTAGTGTGTTAGGTCACTTCAGTGTACATACTGAATGTCATTAAGGTATATTTGTGCTTGCTATAGGTAGTCTATGTCTAATAAAGAAGACATAATTTTCTAGACTAAGAACATCTACTGAATGTTCAGCTGAAAAGAGGGCTTCTCTCCTAGAATGTATACTGGGACCATTTAAACCACCACTGTACTCCCCAAGGAACAGACATCAAAAGTTAACTCATAGATAAAATTTTCTTCCTCCCTTACCAGTAAGGTTATGTTGAGATACTGGGGTTGTGAACTACAAAGCAGATGGATACTGAAGAATTATAAGCATAGGCTTTGTTATGGATGTCCTGACAACCATTTACCCCACCCCCAGAGAAAAGGTATGTGTTCAAAGAGTAGACACCAATTTAACTTTTTGAAACTATGACCTAGAAAGAGCGAATGAACCCTTGAGGTTCTGAGAATTAGGTCCTGATCCAAAATGATTAGTTCTCTTAGTAGATAAAGATGAGATACCATCTCATGTGGAATGTGGGTACCCAGAGTGAGAAGACAGCCTCAGATGAAAGCCATGTATGAATCAAGGAAAGTCGTCTTTAGAGACACTAAGCCTGCTAATACTTGGACCCTGAACTATCCCCAGAACCGTGAAAAACATAAAGGCTTTGGTCGAGTATCTTCTGTAGTGGTCTGTGATGGTAGCCAGAGAAAATCATAAACACTCACCCTAGAATTTATCAGGGGCGTGTAACACTATTTCCAAAGATACTGGGTGGTGCTTTATATCTGCCAATATCTGTGGAAATATTCAGGATGCAGAATCACCCTTTAGCCTGCAGACAGAATTGAAATAGTCCTTGTGTTTTACACCAGAAAGATCACACATTTTCCTCTTTAAGGCTATGTTGTTTCATGTGACTTAAAAAGACACCATTATACAGAATGCTAATTATTTAAAATGTGTTTTGTTATACATAATGTACATCTTAGAGTACATTTTTGTTCAAGTATATTTAATGCATAACCTGGATAAATTGTATATAACCCCCACACCCTGAGATAGTCTTTCAATTTAGTTTTAATGACAGCACCAAAATGTTTATGTCAAGTGATAATGAATTTGAAACTTCCCCAAAAAGTCATCAGAGAGTGTGAATGAAGGATGTCTTTCCTCCTAATAGAAATTTTAGAGCATTTTGAAGCAAGTTCTCTCAATATCCTTTATCATGATCCACAATGCCCAGGGTTATATAATGAAAATGGAGGCGATAAGGACATGTTATGCAAAGGAGCAAAGCAAAAGACAGAAACTTACAGTTACAGCAGAGATTAGAGCTGAATTACGATGAGTGGGTACCAAGCCTTGATCTTTGTAGCTGTCAGTGTTTCATCATTTAATGCATTATTTTGAGAAAAACACACACGGCAAATTTTCATAAAACAATCTACAGAAGCCACAGTTTGACTACAGATCTATAATTCTAGAGACTAGCAGGATGGAAAATAACAGCTTTTGTGTCCTTTTTCTAATGCTTGTCAACTCTCAGAGGTGTGATGCATACTAAAGATGTCATTCCTTAAGCTTCCTGCAGTAAAGTTTTACAGAAGTTGGAAATTATTCCTATGAATTCCTAGCTCTGGTAAACAATTCTAGCAAGAAGTGCAGGGTTGGAGATACCAGGGTGATGGATTTTATTGTGAACGTTGTCTTGCAAGGAGATATCCTAAACGCAACTTTCAGATAAGAAAGGGAATCATAGTGTAACTGGCCTTGATAATACTCACCCAACAATAAGAAATAAAGACCACAATCCTAGTTATCTCTGTCTTATCCTAAAGCAAGAGTAGTTTACTCTATGACCTGTTGGACTGTTTCTAATTTCCCCATGCAGATTATAATCACAAGAATCAAAATCTAGTATCGTATTTATAACCAAAGTAACAATGATACAACCACATAAGCACAGTGGCATACCCAGGACGTTTGTATGTCTACTGGGTGTAATTAAGTCATCAGAGAACTCCTGAGTAAAACATAACACAGCAAGTAATAAACTTGCTTCTTAATCTGCTGGATGTTAGAATTAAACAGAAATGCAAAAGGAGACAAGGAAAGCATAATATGCTTTCATAAGTGGTGAAAATGTGGTCACTGTAAACCACCCAGGAAAAAACAACATCAAGACATTTGCCTGGCGTACTGAAAGTGCACTAAGACCAAAATGGAAGCTGTGACACATTTAATTGGAGACTTACGAATCTATATCTATCCTGTTATGAGAATAGTAGGACTATAATTTCGACTCTTCAAGAGCAGTTTGCCTCTTAATCACTGGTCCATCTCCACAGCCTCTGGGTCTTCCTGTATAATGTTTGAAACCATTTGATGCACTTTTGGCTATCAAAGTAAAAGGAAATGCTTCTTAGTTCAGGTTTATGAGAAATCACATTGATTTCTTTTTTTTTTTTTTTTTTTTTTTTTTTTTGTTTTGTTTTTTTTTTTTTTTTTTTTTTTTTTTTTTTTTTTTTTTTTTCGAGACAGGGTTTCTCTGTGTAGCTTTGCGCCTTTCCTGGAACTCGCTTTGGAGACCAGGCTGGCCTCGAACTCACAGAGATCCACCTGGCTCTGCCTCCCGAGTGCTGGGATTAAAGGCGTGCGCCACCACCGCCCGGCCACATTGATTTCTTTTTTTTTTTTTTGGTTTTTCGAGACAGGGTTTCTCCGTGTAGCTTTGTGCCTTTCCTGGGACTCACTTGGTAGCCCAGGCTGGCCTCGAACTCACAGAGATCCGCCTGGCTCTGCCTCCCGAGTGCTGGGATTAAAGGCGTGCGCCACCACCGCCCGGCCACATTGATTTCTTAATGACAAGGATTAAACTGTTATGTACCATTTATCCTTTTCTAGGACATGACAGCTCCTGGCGACCATTAGGATGATAACACACACTGGGGATGGGGAAATAAACAATCTGGCATTGTGCTGTGACTCTGCCAACCTTGATTTGTACCTTAATTTCTCTAAGAGTCTATGGTTGAAAGTTTTGCTGGGTATAGTAGTTTGGGCTGGCATCCATGGTCTCTTAGTGTCTGCAAAACATCTGTGCAGGACCTTCTGGCTGTTAAAATCTCCACTGAGAAGTTGGGTGTAATTCTGATAGGTCTTTCTTTATACGTTATTTGGTCTTTTTCTAGTAGAAAGCTAAGAAAGTTACCTCATAAATTTGAGTGACACGAAACTCAAATTTTATCATATGGTTCCTAAAATTTATCATTTTATTACATTGTTTCTATGCAATATAGTTAAGTTATTGAACTTAGAATTGAACATAGAGTGACAATAAACATAGATGACAAAGCATCTTGGTAAGGGGTGTACACCCAGGACTATAATAGCTGAATCATAGTCCATCAAGATACGCATCACCTAATGAATGGGTAATGAAAATGTAATATATATACACAAGGGAAATTTTTTTCAGAAAAAAAGAAATTATAAAAATTTTAGGTAAATGGATGAAATTGATGGAAATTATCACAAGAGAACCCACAGAAACAACTAACCTGGGCTCATAGGAGCTCACAGACTCTGGCCTGAGAGCTAGGGAGCCTGCATGGGACTGACCCAGGCCCTCTTCATGTGTGTGATAGTTTTGAGCTTCCTCTATTTGTGGGATTCCTAACAGTGGTATCAGGGTCTTTCCTTAATGCTTGAGCTGGCTTTTGGGAACCTATTCCCCCATGCTGGGTTGCCTTGCCCAACCTTAATACAAGGGAAGGAGTTTAGTCCTACCTCAACTTGACATGCCATGCTTTGTTTATATCCATGGGAGGCCTGCCCCTTTCTGAACAAAAACAGAGGAGTGGATGAGGGCTGGGACTAGGGAGGTGAGGGGAGGGGGAGGGAACAGGAAGATAGGAGGGAGGGGAAGCTGCTGCTGGGATGTAAAGTTAAAAAAAATTAATTAATAAAAAAAGAAAAAAAATTACAGAGCTTTGTGAAACAGATGTGTTTCCAAAAGTTATTAGTTATAATCTACATTATTTTATAGGGGAAATTACTATATAAAACAATTTCTATTAAAATTTTCTATAAAGTAAAAAATAAATCTATTAGAAAAAAAAAGATTCTATGATGTGTCCAAATTGGACCTTATATTGAGACTTGGGTTTCCAATTCATCAATAGGAGTGTTGGCCTAGACAGATGTCTGTGGGACACATAGGCTAACCCTCAATGAAAAGATTGATGTTCTGTCATATAGGAAGTAAGTGAACACTTGATCTTGGAGGAATGAATTCGTCACTGCTATAATTAGGCAATTTATTCCTCATGTTTTATCTCTTCTGCAGGCGTCTGAACATTGCACTCAGATATTCCTATCACATGATGGCATCTATCATTTTATGACTCAGCAGGAGACCCTGGTCAGATGTGCCTCTCCCCTTTTCAGCTGTGCCTCCAAAACCTGTGAGTTGAACATAGACGTCTTTGTTTACAGACCTTCCAGTCTCAAGTAGTCCATTAGCCAAAGAAATTAGCCCAGAGAAGCTAAACAAAGACAAAACCTTATTATCAGGAGAGAAAAACAGACCTCATTTGATGAGAGTCAGATTTTATTGCATGGATTTGAAGGCTAATCTACAAAGTGTAGATGCTCAAGATCAGACCTTAATAGTTAGGACTCTGAATCAACCTGGACAGCATGTCAGATACTTGTTTTCCTATTCACTTAGAAATTTTATTGCTAAGAGTGTCTTTAATACAATGAATTAAGATCTCAGTATCATATATATATAGTTATAAAAATAATATAATCTCATGAACATAATAAAATTCAAAATTACAGGAAATGTCAGTAAGCAACATACTAATCGTAAAGTTGGTTGTTTATAGTAGCCCAAAATAATTAGAGAAAGAATAAAGTGTTTTTGTAGACTATGAGGGGAATGTTATGGTGACTCTGAGGGTTCCAACTAGCCAACTTCACCAAGCTTTTAGATTAAAGATGCCTGTGTGCCTTGTTTAGAGATTGAACGCTATCCGTGCAGTGAATGTTCATACGTGATCATTATAGTCTAAAGAAACGCTGAGAAACTGCACAACACCCAGGCAAGAGTGACAGAGACATAATGATTAAAGGCCAGAAAAGTCTGTCTGCCTAGGAAAGGTTAAAAGAATTGGCATTTAGCTTCTGGCTGAGCAATGCGACTGTTTTCCTCAAATATATGAAGCTTTTTTTGATGGTGTGAGACTATGAAAGACTGAAAAAAAAAACCTGACAAGTTTTTGCAGCAAAAAAAAATCTATCAGTAATCTACACAATATAAATTTACCTTTTAGCACTATTTGGAGTCATGTCCTAGAGTAGACTAATTACTATTTGTTTGAGAATTTTAGACTTGGCTTGGGATAAAGATGGTTAGATGCTTTAGTGTTAAATATAAGCTACATTTGCTGCTTTAGTGTTATACAAATGTAGTAGAATTGATTTTTATTTAAATTTCAGTCAATAATCAAGCCCATCACAGCCAATGAGGTAGCCCTCGTCTCAGCAGTGTTAGGGACTTCCTTCTGTTAGATTCTTCTGCTTTCAAGTATAGTGTGCTTGCCATTGTGATTAAATTGGAGTCACCTCTCACCCAGGAAAACTGGCAAGGATACATACCACTTGAAAAGTCAGTTTCATTTTACATAGAGGAGGAAGTTGTCATTAGGCAGAGATGTTGTGAGTTCAACCCTATAACCATAGCTTGGTTTGGGGAAGGCTTGAAAATATTTCCTGTATCTGGGCAGGATGATTCTCAGTTCTAACCATTTTATGAAAGAAAAGATGTTTGGATGAGACTAGCAGCTTCTCATCTCAGTGGACTACATTAGCATGGATATTAGCATGTCAGCATTTCCATTCTTAAATAATTATCAGCAGAGCAGCTGACAACACTATTGGAGCTAGGGCTTTGCCTCCACTGTGGTTAAGCATGTTGGGCTTTTCTTAGAATCAATTTGACTTCTGAGTATTTCTATCTCCAGAAATGCAGAAAGTTCCCAGAAGGTCTTAAGTTCTGTAGGGGAATTTAAGAGTGAAATTGATCTTGGGTCTCTGTCTTCTTCAGCTCTTTACACCAAGGCTTCTCACCCTAGGAAAACAGCTTCCCTCTACCACAGAAGGCTCCATCGTGAGATTCTGTTAATCTTCTCACAAGCGAAGCAATGGAAAACTATGTTATGACATTGAGTGAAACTTCAGGAAAGAAGTTTATTGAATTCAGTTGAAATCTCCCTACAATGGATATTCTTCATGGACAGTTTTTATATTTAGTTTAAATGACTATTTCCTGCAGCATTCTATCTGATTCTGACATCATAAGCAATCCATTGGCAAGGTCTCATCTAATTAAATAATGTTGTCAGGCTCAGAATGAATTTAGTTCAATCTTACAGTTCAAATTCCATAAGCATTGTAACAAACAACTTTATAATACATGACAAGACTATTAAAATAATCAATCTAAAAACCAGACTCTCAAAAGCCCTCCTAATGAAATTGTTTGTAATTTATTCATGAGTAAATATAATTTCAAACAGAACAAATCACATGCTGTATCATTCTGAGAGGCTTAATTTTTTGCTAGTTGATATATGTGTCCTTCAAGTAACTCCTTCATATAGTAATAACTTGAGATAGGAATTCTTTGAAAAATACCACAAATACTCATTGTTACGTTAAATAAATAAATAATAATAGATCATTTAGATTTAATTAGCAAATCTAATTTTGTCCATCTCTAAGATATGGAGATTTAGAAAGTAATTAAAATCACATAATAATCTCCTTTGCATGGAAATGATCAATTAATGTAGCCAAGCAGTATTTGTTTTTAAAATGCAAACTTCCAGTATGTTCAAACAAAATCACTTTGGCTGAGTTTTGTACTGATTAACTTACTATTCCTTTAAGCCAAGGTGCTCATATCGACCACATGTGTAATTAAGCCTGTGTTTCTTGATGTCCTAGGTCCACTCATTCTAATAAGTCATAATTTATATAGTCTTTACTGTTTTGAGTCTCAAATTACATAGTACAAGATAATTTAGTCAATCAGATTTCTATGCCTATGGCCTCCTTCAATTTTATATGCTCATTAATTATAGACATAGCAATTGCAAGATTTTTATGTTTGACATAATCATAGGGAAGAAAATGTAATATTCCTGAAGTAGCTGAAACTGTGCCTATAGAAAAACCCAACCCGTATTTTTATGCATAATTGAAGTGATGCTTGACCAATCTGTTTAGTTATTTTTTAATACAAGTTTCTAAACTGCCTCAGATCTGTCATTACAATATCCAGACTATCTGATTGCAGCTCAATTTTCCCTCATTGTTTTGATCTCCTCATAATTGCTTAGATTGAAGTAAGAGTCAGTCAGCGTTTTAATGCTAGTTTTCACTGTTAACTTTATAAATGGCTTCTTTAGTGTCCTTCTCACATGCTAAGTAAGTTTGGAGCAGCTACCACATCTCAACTAGAGTAGGCCATGTAGGGAGCTGTTTATCATAAAACTTGATGTTCAGCTCAGCATCAGCCCAAGTAAGAGCTAACATGATTAAAAATTAATTACAACCATTGTTTATTAGAAGAGAAAGTGTCTATTCTTGTGCTTAGAGAGCACTATCATATCTAATTATGATATTCACCTAAGGGCATTTATATAAGAATATCCACAAAATTCAAGGTGATATAAAATGTCAATTTAGAAAGCTAATGTATTTTAATGGTAAGATGGTTTAGAAGATATGGGCCTGAATCCATTAACGCAAGTCCAAGACTCACATCTTTTCTTCTAGTGTCACTCTTCTTCTATCCCACAAAAACAATAAAGAGATACTGAGATATGGCTCAGAACTAATAGTTGTCATAAAACAGACAAAAAGCCCTGAAATGTAAATGGAAGTTTTTCAGATTAATGAAAGTACAGTATGTCAGTCTAGGCTGGACAGAGTCATTTTCTGCTTCCATTGGTCCATTTATGCCTGGATATTTGATTTTCATGTGATTAAGTATATAATAACTCAAGCATTGGGCATGTTTGTGTTCAAAACTAAGAATTTGGCAGAAAGGCAAGAAACGTTATTTCCTCTTTTCTTGAAGGAATTAGACTAAGCCTACTTTCCATGACTCCAAAAGCATAAACAGGAAACTAAAGCTAGATAGATTGGCCTTAATTTAATTGAGAATTTTGTGGCCTAACTTTTCTGTCTTAATATAATATGAGCCACTAAAAAAAAATCCCAGATCTTTCAAGAACAAGCTTGACCATCATTAGTCAAATGTAGTAGTTCAGACATTTATCAACTAAAAAGACAAGCATAGTAATGTATGATGTCTTTTCTAATTCTCTAACATGTTTCCTGTATATTTTATAGGAATTTTCTGGATATTAACTCAGATACTACACACAGAAATACCTTGAAAAACAAAATGTTCTGTGGGGTGGAGATTATTTTAAGTGTGACCACTGAATTGGGACTACGTATTGGAACCTCATGGGACCCCCAATGGGTAACCACTGAAGACAGTGATACCTCTTCTCCTGAAACCATCAGGAGAACATAGTTTACCAGTGTTGTGTAGAGCCCCTGAGAACTCCCTCCACTCAACGTACAGATGTTTATGGAGCTGTTCTCATATAGACTCAGTATTGTCATCCTCGGTTATGAAGTTCATGATAGCAATGGCTATGCATTGCTTACAAAATGTCTGTTTTTTTTTTTTTTTTTTTTCAGCTCTTCTCCCTATGTGCTTGTTCTCACTCTTTCTTCCCCTTATACAATGCTCCCTAAGCTCTGGAGAGGATAGATATTTGTATGGGTGAGTGTGTGTGCATGTGCGTGTGCATGTACATGTGCGTGTATCTTTTATTTTGGTTACAGGATAGTAGGTTTCCATACGGGGTTTTGAATAGTCCCTCCTTTTTAAGATAACTTCTTCACGTTCTCTGTCCCTTGCCTACCCACCTCCATTGTGAAACCCTTCCACCTCCACTATTCTCCTCCTCCTTTGACATTACCTGCATTACACTATACCCTTCCCTTAAGGCAGCCTCCGAATGATCCCTTTCTAGATTTGTGGCCTCTACAGGAACTCTAAGTTGACTATTCAAACTTAAATATTCAAAGCTAGGGGGACACATAAGAGAGAGAACAAATGATGTTTGGTTTCCTGTGCCTGGGTTACTTCATCAAAATAATTTCCATCAATTTCATCCATTTACCTAAAATTTTTATAATTTCTTTTTTTCTGAAAAAAATTTCCCTTGGGTATATGTATTACATTTTCATTACCCGTTCATTAGGTGATGCGTATCTTGATGGACTATGATTCAGCTATTATAGTCCTGGGTGTACACCCCTTACCAAGATGCTTTGTCATCTATGTTTATTGTCACTCTATGTTCAATTCTAA